TTATCTATCATGTTATTGGAGGTAGTTAAGAAACAAAATTATGGGTAAATCAGCTGACAAATTTATACTAGAACGAAACATGAGTTCTGAATTCCATTTATGTTTACTATTCAGAATGTAATCGACTTATGAAATATAGGCAATATCGAGGTATCTATTCAAGGATACAATATCCCAACAGAGATTGTTTAGATCAGTCTTGATTAAGAATTACGAGTACATATAGAATCATGTAATTATTGAGTTTAATTAGACATTTGCTGATTAAAAGTAATTTCATTCTACTTATCAACGAATCAGAATAATAGAAGCAAAATGATTAAGAAAGATATATCAACCAATTCATATAAATAAAAACAATATCTTACACTGGTTAACATCAGAATTCAGAAGGTCCATTTCATCCTGTTTTGTAGGTAAACGATTATCAAGACTTCATTATTCTGAAAACAAAAATGAAGCGAATTTTCCTGATTTTTATCAGTCAGTTCAAAGACGCCATTTACTCCTGGAAATTTAATATTTCTGTTAAAATTTTGACATCCAATAAATTGGGTTGTGGTTATTTATTGTTACAATTAATGGATTCTAAACTGAATTGGTCCATGCCATGTTTATTGTTAGCAGAACTAATTATTCATAGGGCAATTTATGTCTACCACAATTAACATATTCATTTAGCTGTTTCGTATTAAATGACTCATTTTAAAATTGCCCTTTTTCGACTTGAGCATCATATGTAAATGTTTGTGTGTGTATTAACGTTTGCCTACAGTTTGGTAATAATCCCAAATGGTCATGTTTTGTGACGCATTTTGCATTGTATAAAATAAATTCAAACTTGCTATTTTGTTTACTTCACTATCTTCATCTTAGTCCTAGTAAGATAGACATACGACTAATAGTCAAACAATCCGTCATCTTTGAATTTTTCTTAGAATAACAAGTACTTAGAGAAGTTACGATATCCATAAATACGAATGAATACTTTATTCATAGTGAATACAAATGTAGTAACGAAGATATCCATTGTACTGTAAAGCATAATCATGTGGAAGCAAGCTAAACATGCAATAAATTTCATTAATATCATAAACGGATCTATTTGAAAAACGCTGGACGACTGTTTCATCCTAGTATGTGACTTTTCAGCAGTGCACATCCACGACCTCACAAGCATAAATAAATCAATCTCCGAAATTACGTGAGCATTTTCTGTTGTCTTCAGAGGATAACCTCCTCACATCCAACACGGATTAGCTCCATCGGTTACGGTTTCTCACTAGTGCTCCAAAGATTTCCTGTTAAAGCTAGTCGCTAGTGAGCACATGATGGTCGTCAGTAAGGGGTTGTGGAAATTGTTGAATTTTATTGAAATCATGAACCAGACTAATTTAGGTCACCATTGAAGATCTGTATGCCGACTCAGGGGTCTAAAGGTAAGCATTCATGCGCAAGACTAAAGGTACTGGGTTCAATTCTCGTGTGCGGGGTTATGAATGAGTACTGCTGAGAAGTTCCACACTAGAATGAAACGTCCATCCAGTGCTGCCAGGTTTTCACTTGTTATCTAAGATTGATCAGTTCATGATACCGATGAAACTTAACAGTCTGAACAACCTCATACTGACAATAAAATAAATTTTTCATTATAATCTATAAATTACTCATTCTCATAAGTTATCAGTTTATATTGTGTCAACTCAGTTTCTCCGTGTAGCTTAGACCTAAACACCTGATCACTAAAGCAGAAAATAATAGGATCGCAGTATTAAAAGTTGTAAAGCAGTAATCTAGCATAAATTATTTTTAAAAGAATAAGAATCCACACCGTTGAACTACTCACCTGAGTAACATACAAAAGTTTATTTTAAACGTATGTTAACTGATTTACTTCAATTCGGATAACTAGATAAATAGATTTACACTAGTAACAATAAATTTTAGTTAAATTATTCATTATCTAAATTTAACTGACAGACTTGATAACAAATTGACATCAGTGTACGCAATGGTTTTACATTAAAATTTGTGTACCAAAGAATAATTAGTTTTCAATAATTGATAACATAGTAGTTGTACATATTTTCTTGATTGCTTCAGACTACTTGGTTATAATCCCTACGGTATTTCCAGAGTCATTGTAATCAAAGTTCTTCTTTAATTGTCCCCTATCTATCATGTTAAATAAGCCTACATAAAACATTAGATACATACAAGATGAAGTCGTAAAAAAGATAAAATCACAGTTCATAGATTTTAGGGTTGAATTTGATTTCACTTACTAATGTTTACAATGAATGTCGTTATTTTAATGTCAAGTGTGATATATATGTTTCAACTAATTAGTTTATGTAACTATAGTGAGCTTTTCGGTATACTATATAGACATTAATTTACACTCCAGGGGACCATTCATTAATGAAAACTGGTTAATTTTTAAGTTGATAATGTCAATGAATTCGTGTAACTGATTTTCAGGATTATTTTTGACTAACATTTATTTCTAAATGTGTATTATTGGTAAGTTATGATTGTATTTCCGATTCCACTGCTAGCCACTATCTTTGCCTATAAAGCCTTAATCAGTATTAAAATTTTTTTTCATAAATGACGTAATAGTTGGAGGAAAGTTATGGTCACGAATTAACTCCTAAGACGATCAGTGGATTCCTTAATTTTTTTATCAATAATGCCAATGTCTTATTAGAAACGGTAACCCCAAGTGTGTTATTTTTCAATTCAACTTTCCACATCACCTTTGTCTCTTTTCCACTTGGTTGCCACAACATTTAGCCATCTAATGTTTTGCATTCTTGAGGCGCATGCTGTCGTTACTAAATATGTAAAGAGTAGTACTACTTTAAGTTGTTCTGATTGAACACCAACTTTCCTTACACTTCGTCTTCTTTCTTTGTTAGTGGCTAGTTATTGAAGTTCTGTTTGTCAGCTGCCGTTACTGAGATGCAATAGAACAGTTTAATTCTCAAGTATTATACGCCAACTGGAAACACCAATACATAGTCGATTTTATCAACATCCGACAGTGACGTGCACTCAAAAACCAGGTCAAAACACAATAAAATTATTAGCCGTTAAGTATTAACGAGTGCAGGGTTTATCGATTTTCTTTTAGTCGCCTTTTTTCAAATCTCTAGTAGGAGTATGTCATTCATGAAGTTCATCATTTCAAAAGTGATGTAGCTGTATCACCAAAAAAATTGGATATGAATCATGTAACATGAGGAACTGATTGGAATTGAAGATATAGACTACTAGATTCTGAATTAATAGTTTAGAGGTGTCCAGACAGGTGTAGAATCATTTTATAGTCATTAGTTCTTCAAATTACTTTGGTTCATAATAAAAATTACCTTGAACTATACAAAATGTTCATATTAATCATTTTATTTAGACAATTTTTCACAAATATAGTGACAGTTATCACTCATGATCGATGATGCTAACAATAATAAATTATAAAACATACATTTATCACTAATTTAAATGCTTTACAGTCAGTCAGTCACAACGTAGAACTTCGTACGTACGTACATCAGTTCGAGTTGCCATACCACATTAGCACAGAGATGAAGTTGTCGACTCAAATCCTATAGTGGTAGAAGTAGTAAGAGTATAAGCAGTAATCGAAAAGATTAGGGTTTGAAGATATTGTTCAAGGAGTATGATACAGTGAAATAAATTTGGAAAGAGAAAAAGGATAGGGGCATGAGGAATTCAGAAGATTAGAATTTGGTAGAACACAAAGAGAGGATGCGCCTTCGCCATTGCAAGCGATTTTGAGACATGTCATTCAAGGTCTCTAACCATCGGTTGCTATCATCTCGCGAATCTCAACCAGGTAGTCCACACGTACCAGCATGGCTCAGTCTAATTGTCAGTGACTTCATTGATTTGTGCCACGTTTTAGTCTGACCGTCCCTAGCTTTCTTCCAACCTACTCCTACACCATAAAACATCGCACGTCGGGGCAGTCGGTAGTTGGGCATACGTAACACGTGTCCCAGCCATCTTAACTAATGAAATTTTAGTACTTCATCAATCGAGTTATTAGTATAGGTATATTCAGTCTGTAAGTATGTTACCGTTTTCAAATAAAGATTGTATTGATTAGGGAGTGACAGTTGAATCTCAATTGAATGGAATGCAAGTCTAAAAATAGGATGAACTAGATTACATATGAACCATTTACTTAGTAACCATAATGAATAAACTTAATGAGCTTAAATATCCGATAATTGTCGACGACAGTTAACATTGTTCAAACTTCAATACAATCAGAAAAGCAAGTATCAAAACAATGAATAAAGTTGTAAATCGCCAAGATTAAAAATTTAACATCAAATTTAGTAAATTAATTAATGATATTGATTAATTGATGATAATTCTTGAGTTAGACAGATCTTAAATTATTTATTGTTACAATAATTCCTATCTTATCTCACAAGAAAACTAGTCCATTTACTTCAAGATATTTTAATTTACTGAGATCAGATCTCGAACTAAGAAAATATCATAAGAACATAATTACCTTCAGAACAATACACAATGTCTCATAACCCACTCGATGTAACAAATCAAAGTAAGACAGTTACATTGTTAACACATTACTAACGTGAAATAAACGTAGAGTTAAGCGTACAAATTATTTGTTTTTACATTAAATAAGGAGAAAAAGAGATTACTATAACCCAATAAGCGTTTTGAATTTTCTACGGTAAAGTGAAATTTTTAACTAGTGACATTTCGTGGATAAATGCATGGAGTTTGACTAAGCTTAGAATGGTTGAGTAAAAATTTCCCATTTCCTGAAATTCAAGATGAAACTTACGGAATAAAAATGGTTGTTTTATAAAAATATAATTTCTGATTTATTTAGGTCTGAACGAAAAATAACAATTGTGCCTTAATCCTAAAATCCACCCATCCCTTCCCGTTTTAATTAAATAAAATGATAGCAGGTCAGTGCATAAAAAAGACTGATATGGTAGGACAGATCTAGTTTTGTGCCTTCTAAATTCCATACAACCAATACGTTCAATACTTAATTCCGCATTCATGTGGAGATTGACGTTCCGCTATTCTCTTACCTATAAAATCTCAACTGCACAATGACAGACAAGTGTTCCTATCATGTCACTGTATCAATAAAACGGATTTGCCTAATCGATTCTCGATTGGCGAGATATTAAACCAAATAGTAGTTACCAACAGTGGGTGGATGTCTAAACGACCTTGAAAGAACTGTGAACTGAAAGCAATACGTAGGTGGCTTATTGCATCATGGATTTAAGTCATTTACACACTATTAATCAGTATGTTTCAAAAAGCAGCTCATTAATTATTGCCACTCTCATGACCTTATGAAACGGTGTATCCATGTAACGAAAAATCACATAAGCACATTTATCAGTCGAACAGTTAAAATGAACAACCCTAGTTTAAGGCAGACGAATATAAATGTCAGTGTACGTGGTGGGTCACGAGTTCGAATCCAAAGGTCTCAGTCACCACAAGGAAAGATTAATTTGTCATATTTTCGACACGGGTCTGTGTCTCCGCCACGAAAGATTGAATCCAATTACAAGGACAATACAGCATCACAAACAAGCTGTGTGCGACGTCGACACAGTCTAGTGATACAAAGAAAATCTCCAAGTCCCATCACAAATTCATACAACAGGATTAGCATGTATCATCAAAACAAAAAAACCACCCCTACAAATGAACTCGAAACAGACATAAATATGACGCGTACAAATAATTTACAGATAATAAACAGCCAATACGAAAAATCAATTCGCCAAACAGCTCTCACCCCATATGCTAAAGGTATTTCAATAGTGATTGGCGCAACTAACTCAGCTTCCAATGAAACACCAGACAGAAAGCTGTTAAGAGATGACTCATTTAATTTAAATTCAGTCTCGCCATTAGGCCGTATTGGAGAGCCAGGATTATACGACCTTGGCATACCGGTCGATAGCAGTTCAGTTTCTCTCTCTACTAGTCAGACTGACAATTCTAGCCTTAATTTTTCTGCCCTACCATGTTTGTCTATAACTACAAAGCCTATTGTACGTTGTCCTGTCTCAAATTCACATTCAATTTCCATTTCCGTTAACGGTAATGCTGCTTTATTATTGAACGGGAATAATGACAGTTCTTATTCATTTTATCCTAAATCAACTAGTGGACAGACTACAATAACAAGTTTACGAAATAAAAATGTTACTTTAAACGACCGACCACCACTACCTCATTCAGACATTAGTTGTGTTAAAAAAAGTATTGCTGTAGTGCGCATTTCCGCTACAAATTCAGCAAGAGTATTAAGCAACTTACCTCCTAGGAGTCCTATCAACGTTATCAGTGTTCGAAATCCTCCAGAGCCATTACATTCCTATAGTTCATATGAAAATTTACTGTCTAATGGGGCTAGACGTTTCAGCTTGATTGATCAAAATCCTGAACGTGCTAATCTTCGATATCGAAGTGTTTTAACGAACGTCTTATCCCCTAATTCGTCCCAGAGGTTTTTCCATTCCTCTTGTGATCATTACATCGAAGCAATGCCCAATGCTCAGTCTATGGGGATCGAAGATATAAAAACTAATTGTGCCCCACAGGCTCGATTAGCAAAGCCTACCATGGTTAGTAGCACTACTGACTTCAATACCCAAGGACAGAATGATGATTTAAGGACTCTGCTGAACTCTCGAAACCCAAGAAATAACGACTCACCTGTACGTCGGAATATTCCACCTACTGGGAATAAAATTTCAGGATCTAATACTTCAGATCAACTGAAAAATATCCGTTCTAGTTTTTCTGGAACTCATAACCAAAATTATTTCCGGATACAAATACCTAGCACACGTGCAATATCTCGACCAAAGGGATTTGCAATGACGGATAGTTTAAAATTGTATGAAGAACAAATTTTCAGTCATTGTCAACCTTCTCAACGTCCTCAGTCATGGTGTCTAGATTTCGACCAACCACGAGATGAAAATAACCTGGTGGATGATTCACATTCTAGTTCTCCAGCGTCTACTGTGTCTTCATCTTTTTCTTCCTCTTCATCAGATACTTCCCAATTACTATCTCAGAACCACACGGACCTTAGAAGGATAAGGAATGTCCCTTATTATAGTAAGTCTTGTTAAGTTTCTGATGTTTGATATACCTGTTCATTCTAGTGCATTGATTAATTTATTAGTAGGAGGACCATGCTTCTAATACGTAAATTTTATCTTGAATTAAAAGAATACGGTCCAATTTTCCTTATGTTTATGACTTTAGAGCTGGTAGTTTTTTATTAAAACTATATTACAGAAACTACCAAACTTGAACTTGGTCTTCTGGTTTCTGTAAGAAAGGCTTTACAAATTAACAGATAACCCTCTTTTTATCACGAAAGTGTGATGGAAATATGAGTAATAAGTTCTGTTTGTCATATTTTGATCCATAAATTCATCCCGTTGCTATTTGTGATGATACTTTCATGCCAGCACTACAGGGTTCACTACACAGTGATTTTTCATCACTTCATTTTCCATTGAACGCAATAGGTCTTTGTTGATTTACAATCATTACTATTCAAAACCTGATGCAATCATGAAAATCTACTTTCTATAAAGTTTTCATTTAGAAACAATTCAATTACGTGTTCTAGCTCTGTATGGTTTCCGTTGGGTAGTGCTACGTTTCACTGGTTATTTGAATTGAACTAGGAGTTTACTATTATTTCTCTGGATAATTTCATCATAGTATTTTGTCACCGAATTTCGTTATGTAGTTCAAAATTAATGGGTAGTTTTTCTAAGATATAGTTTGGGACTATTTCTTACTGAAAGATTCTTTGGTTAGTTCAACTTACGAGTTTAAAGTTGTTTCATTTAGTCCTACTACCGCATGTTACTCCCGATAAAACATAGGCCACCGAGCAGCATTCTCCAACCCACTCTGTTCTCGACCTTCCTTTCTAGTTCTATCCAGTTGTTCATTATTCTCACGTCTGTTTCAATTTCTCGGCGTACTGTCTTTGGTCTTCTGCTTCTCCTTTGGCTTTGAGGATTCTAAGTGGGGGCTTGCCTTGTGACGCAGTTAGGTGATTTTCTCAATGTGTTCTATCCACTCCCAGCGCTTCTTCCTGATTTCTTCCTCCGCTGGAATCTGGTTTGTTGTCTCCCACAGTAGGTTGTTGCTGATAGTGTCTGGCCAACGGATCCGAAGTATTTTGCGTAGACAACTGTTAATAAACACTTGTATGTTATGGATAATTGCTTTCGTAGTTATCCAAGTTTCCGCCCCATACAGTAGAACTGTCTTGACATTTGTATTGAAAATTCTGATCTTGGTGTTGGTTGACACTTGTTCTGAGTTCCAGATGTTCTTTAGTCGTAAATATGCTGCTCTAGCCTTGCCGATCTGCGTCTTCACATCTGCATCAGATCCACTGTGTTCATCAGTGATGCTGCCCAGATATGTAAAGGTTTTCACATCTTCCAAAGTTTCTCCGTCAGGTGTAATTCGATTGGTGCATGCTGTATTGTATCGGAGAATCTTGTTTTTCCCTTTGTGTATATTAAGACCTACTGCTGCTACACTGGTCGTCTTCTGCCTATATTGTTGCGTGTGTGATAGAAGAGCCAGATCATCCGCGAAGTATAGATCGTCAAGTTGCATCCTGCCTGTCCACTGTATCCCGTGCTTTCCTCCAGTCGTTGACGTCTTCATGATCCAGTCGATCACCAGGAGAAAGAGAAAGGGTGAGAGTAAGCAACCTTGCCTTACACTAGTCTTTACCCAAAAGCCCTGGTACGGCCGAGAGTGGGGAGAGTCTGCTCTCCCTCTCCAAATGCTCTCATATGGCCACGCGAATATATAGCCTCTGCCAGGGAAGTCCTACTCACTGCCTTCTCGTGACGGGGGTGTTGTTCTCAAAAGTGAGAGGACGAAAAGCGAATGTCCGGCGCTTTAACCGGGTCGGTGGACAGAGAAAGTTCACCTAGGGGAGTTGAAGAACCCTGATTCCAAACCAATGGTGCACATGGGCTCCAGTATCCTGAAGGAACAAATGGCGTATGAACCAATTGTTGGTCACCAGCTACCATGGAACTGCATCTCCTCACGATGCTCCACTGCCTTGTGGATCAGATTTTTAGGTCAAAGGCTCGGGGTGTAGTCCCCTAAGAAAACCACCTGCTTCAGTCTGGGCACCTGGGCAGTAACACAGCCTTCACACAAATCAAATGAGATTTGTGAGGTGCTTATTTATCTGGCGCTTTCTTGTACCAATATTTATGTGTTTAAATAAATAAATACATAAATAAACTCCAAACAAGTAAATGAGCTGTCCTCCATGCATGATTTGGCAGTTTAATCCATCATAGGAATTCCGTATGATACTGGCTATCTTCTCATGTACGCCATAGTGTCGAAGAAGCCTCCATAGTGTTGTCCTGTCCACGTTATCAAATGCTTTCTCGTTAAACCTTGAGATTTAAATTGCTTCATATCTGTCTTCCTTCCTATACTATATCATAATATACAACTTTTCTTTTATAAATTACCACCACTAAATTAACTACTATGAATCCGTTGTTCATCTTGTGCTAACGCGGTATGGCAACTTGGACCGATGCATATATGTGCCTGGTCCTACGTTATATCTGACTGACTGACTGCCTTCTCATAGTCAATGAAGTTGAAGTAGAGTGGTGAATTTCATTCAACTGGTCGTTCCACAATGATCCGTAGAGTTGCGATTTGGTTAGTACACGATCGATCCTTACAGAATCTAGCCTGTTGGTCTCGAAGTTGGGCGTCTATGGAGTCCTTCATTCTGTTCAACAACACCTTGTTGAAAACTTTTCCTGATATTGAGAGAAAAGTGATACCTCTGTAATTCTCACACCTACTGAGATCGCCTTTTTTTGGTATCTTGATCAGGTGTCCTTCTTTCAAGTCTGTTGGTACTTGTTCTTCATCCTAAATTTTATTGAAAAGAATTTGGAGTATCTTTGCAGTCACTGCTTCTGATGGAATGTTATCTGGCTCCTCTGCTTTGCCGCTCTTGATTTGTCTGATGGCCATGCTGATCTCTTCAACTGTTGGTGGGCCAACATCGATTAGGAGGTCCGTGGGTGCTACTTCAGTGTTGAGTGGGTTCAGTGGAGCTGGTCGATTCAAGAGTTCCTTGAAGTGTTCTACCCACCTGTTTCGTTGTTCTTCAATATCGTTGATTACTTTGCCTTCCTTGCTTTTCACTGGTCGTTCTGGTTTACGGTAATTCCCAGCGAGTTTTTTTGTTGTATCATACAATTGTCTGTTTCCTTCTCCTGCAGTTTTTTCCGCTGTCATGCTTAATCTTCCACATATTTACGTTTGTCAGTTCTGATGCTCCTCTGCACTTGCTTGTTTACTTTTGTGAATTTGGCTTGTGCCTTGGCTTTTTCCGCTCTTGTTCGGCTGGTATTGATTGCTGTCTTCTTGTTCCTCCTTTCTTCAGTCTTATCCAGTGTACCGACAGTGATCCATTTTTTGTGATGGTGCTTCTTGTGGCCCAGAACCTCCTGACATGTTGAAACGATTGCCTCCTTGATACCTTTCCAGTTGTTCTCCATGGTAGTTCCTTCTCCATTGAGTAGGTCATGAAAGGCCTGGAACCTGTTGCTGAGGGCTATGTTGAATTTGTTGAGTTTGTTTGCATCTCGAAGAAAGGCCGAATTAAAATTTTGTGATGTTGTCCGCGCCGTTGTCCAGTGCTTCTTGAGTTTTAGTTTCATCTTGGCGACCAGCAAATGATGATCTGATGCTATATCAGCTCCTCTCTTGGTTCTCACATCTTCTATCGTCTTCCCGAACTTTTTGTTGACGCAAATATGGTCGATTTGGTTCTGTGTAGGGTGATCCGGTGAAGTCCATGTGGTTTTGTGAATGCGTCTGTGTGGAAATATAGTGCCGCCTGTGACTAGTTTATTGAAGGCACATAGGTTTACAAATCTCTCACCATTTCCGTTCCTTTCTCCCAGTCCATGTCGTCCCATGATGTCTTCGTATCCAGTGTTGTCCATTCCAACCTTGGCATTTAAATCTCCCCTCAAAATGGTCAGGTCCTTTGTTGGGCACTTCTCGACTGCAGCCTATCGTAGAATTTGTCTTTAACGTCTTCATTGCAGTCGTTGTTAGGTGCATAGCATTGAATGACGTTCGTTGTAATGCCCTCTTTCTTTGTTTTGAAGGAGGCTTTGATGATCCTTGGTCCATGAAATTCCCATCCTATAAGTGCATTTTGTGTTTGTTTGGACAGTCAGTCAGTCATGGAGATAAGAGAGTTATTAGGTGTAGGAAGGATTTGAATGTAACCAACTTGGTCTCGTGTGCAGTCACGGGTATGAGGGCTAATATAACTTCCCGGCTGCTCACACCATGAACAGCATCAATGCAACTCCTTGTGTATGTGGGGCATTTCGTTCTTCATGGCCGAAGTATAACAGAAGCCCCTCTGAAGCTAGTCTTTGTTGTCCGACCTGTGTCCAATGTGTCTCACTGATTCCAAACACCTCCTGGTTGTATCTTTTCATTTCTGCAGCAGTTTGGATGGCTCTCCCGGTCTCTCACATAGTACGAACATTCCATGTACCTAAATAAATGATTTCTCTGATTGTCAGAAGAGGTATCGGCCTCGCGACTTCCGAAGGAACTAGGCTTTTGAGTTGAGATCTGTATATTATCTAGACATCTAACAGTCCATAAGACAAATTTCTATATTTACAGTCTGTATTTATAGAAGTTAATACTTGACACGATTTGTAGACAATAACAGTTCTAAAAAGTTGACCGTAGGTTTAAGACTTGATAGTCACAAAATAATATTAAGTACATACATGAAAAACAGTTTATGAGTGACCACTTCTATGAATATATCTGTCGATTATATTCGAGAAAGCTTGACGCTTGAGTTGTCTCAACAAAAAGAATGGTAACTGATCGTGCTTAGATTATCATTTTAGTACTGAGTTAATGGGTTTTATTTGCAATGAAACAAGAAAGCCAAATGTCACACTACACACAATTAGAATTATTGGTTACTTAATAACCAGTTGCAGCTGAGGCTTAGTGGTTAAGGCTTCTAACCTTCAGTCGCT